TGCCACCCCAGGGCCCCAGGGGTGTGAGGCCCGCCAGCTGTGGGGTGGAGCCGTGCCCCCAGCCAGCTACAGCCTCTGCTTCTGTCTGGCCTGCTGGCTCAGCTCGTGTAACGATGGCTTTAAGAAAAGCAATATTGTGCAGTTCATCACATGGTGCAGGTGTTCACCTTCAGCTATCCCTGCCCCGTGCTGGCAGAGCAGCTCTTGCAGCACACACGGCCTGCGCTCACCTCAATTCCCCAGGCTGCAAAGCGCAGCCCCTACACCATCCATGGGTTAGATTTGTTCTGAAAATGGAAATGTTTAGGAAGGAAAAGCTCTCAGCTGAATACAGGGAGATCAGATTTTTATCTGACCTCCCTCCTGTGCAAAGATGTGATACAATTCGGCAGACTTGGTACATCTTGGTACATTTTCCCCCTCTACTCTGCACTGGTGAGGCCACAACTGGAATACTGCGTCCAGTTCTGGGCTCCCCGGTTCAAGAGGAACAGGGAACTACTGGAGAGAGTCCAACGTAGGGCAACCAAGATGATTAAGGGATTAGAGCACCTCCCTTATGAGGAAAGGCTCAAAGAGCTGGGGCTCTTTAGCCTTGAGAAGAGAAGACTGAGGGGAGACCTCACCTATGTTTACAAGTTCCTAAAGGGTGGGTTGAAGGATGATGGAGCCGGACGCTTTTCAGCGGTTTCCAGCGATAGGATGAGGGGCAACGGGCATAAGCTGGAAGATAGGAAATTCCACTCAAATATGAGGAAGAGCTTCTTTATAGTGAAGGTGACAGGGCACTGGAACAGGCTGCCCAGGGAGGTCGTGGGGTCCCCTTCTCTGGAGATTTTCAAGACCCGCCTTGATGCAGTCCTGAGTGATGTGCTCTGGGCAATCCTGCTTTAGCAGGGGAGTGGGACTAGATGATCTCTAGAGGTCCCTTCCAACTCTATCAAATCTGTGAATCCATGAATCTGCCAAACCAAGATCAACCTCAGCAGCTCTAACTTTATTGATGCAGAAAGGAACCTGAGGAAGAACCAGAGGTGTCTGCAGAAAAAAACACCACAGGGACAGTTATAATCAGCAGAAAATTCAGCCCAAACAAGCTGCTCCTTAGTTCACATTGCGGTCACAGTCCCTGTTCAGTCGGGATAAATCCAGTTGGTAGCAGGGTATGGTCTGTGATCTCTTGTGAATCCAGTGGGAACAGACCCAGAAGCCGTGGGCGCTGGGTATCCACTGCGGACGCAGGGATGAAGATGTCCATCCCAGGGCAGAGATCCAAGTGGTCCTACTGGCACCCTGGGCAGAGGCTGCCAGTGCACTGAAGCTGGTTAAGGAGCACTCAGATCATCGACCTGCCCTGGCGATGATCACTCCCAGTGGACAGAAGGGAAGGAATAAATTTCAGCTGCAGGGAATAACAAACTGGAAGGGGTAAGAATTTCTTTAGCTGTTCCCCAAACCACTGTGGAACCACTTGGTAGATCTGGACAGGACAGGACTGTCGTACCCTTGACAACTCAATTTCACTAGCATCCAGTGCTAAGCTAGTGGATGAGTGATAGGTGGAGATTTTAACTGCCAAAATGCATTTTTTCCTCCTGGGAGAGGAAAGAGAAAGCAGTTTCATTCCCCTCCCAAAAATTCCCCAGGTTTAAACAACATTACGAGTGTGATATTTTATTTTTGTGTGGACATACATACTTGGGGGGTTCTAATAAACAGACCATTTCCTCTGACTTGTATTCAAGGGCACTAGAGATCTCTGCTTTTTAAGACTCAAGAATTTGTTTGGTTTGCTGTAGTGCAATAAAACTTCAGGCAGGAGAATCTACTATTCAGTCCTTTAAAAATAGTTCATAAAAAAAGCATTAAAGGACTACAAATTGAATTACAGAGTACCAGTGTTTTGACCTCTCCTAACATCCCCCATAGTTAGAATCTCACTGCTGCCAAACAAATACTGATTATTCTCCAAACAGTCCCACCCAGAAGAGGAAACAAGTGCATAGAAAAATTCAGGGACCCGTCTAGTACCTCAAAGCAAGACAGTGGCCAATGATAAAGCCTTGGTATCACGACTTCATTGTGGAGCTGAACAATAAATTCAGACTTTTTCCAGAGGTGTCATATCACAAAGTTGTCCCAAATCCTAAAGCAAGATTCATATACTTCGACAAAACAAAGTTTTAGCCATTTCACGTCCTGTTTTCTCTGTTTTCATATTAGTCACGAGTGACTGTGGACTTTACATACAATGCATATATTAATCTGATCAAAGTGGAGGAATGCAATTTACCCTTACAGGTGCAGCTATACACAAACTACATTCACCAGGGGAGAGCTTGTTCTTGCCACGTCTTTGCAGCTAAACTGGGACTACACTGGGCTTTTATCCCATTTGAAGCAACAGATCCCACACACATAACCACATTAGTTTTCATGTAATTCTTTGACCTGGAAGTAATCATAATTTTCCTCTGCAAAACAGTGAGCTATAGCCAGTTGTAGGATCTGAATTTTTTACTGCTGGGCAACATCTCTTCTGCTTTTGTATGTCAAAATAAAATTTGAAAAAAAATGTAAATGCTTCACTGAGCTACAAACAATGAAAAAAGGTGTTCTGCCTGCCATCAAACCCCGCTGTTAAAATATTAACACAATGTAAATATTGTAATATTGAGGAAGTACACTGTGTCAGTACTTCCTGGCACCGTACAAGAGCTTCACTGTTCACTTCAGACCCTGCTGTTAGTTTTAAACACGCACAACTTAAACAAGGCATCTGAGCTTCTCCAGTCCTGGTGCGGAATTGCAGAGAGGCAAAAATCTTACTGTAGGTTCTCTCTAGACTAAAAAACAAAGTATTAAAAAGAATCCTTAAACCCAAACAATTATGTAGATGTCAGTACTTTTGAGGCAAAAATATTCCACAGGGTCTTTCAAAAGTCCTGGCATATTGCTGCCAAACATGGAAAGATCTTTGGGTATGCACTGTCCACCCTCCCTCCCCCCCGCCCCTTCCTCAGAGAAGAAAAACAAGCTGCAAATGCCCACCAATGCCAGAAGCCTGAAAGCCTAAGTTATTCCTCATGGCAAAAGTCCCATTCCGCAGATTTGCCAGTTAAGCACATTACTTGCAATTGACTCTCTCTCTCAATTGACTGAATAAGCAGCATGTGTGTAATAAAGAGACTGAAGCAGCTACCTGCCATTAGTAAGCCAGATGTTGCTATCAAGTCTGAGGAAATGTTGTCTAGCTGCTGTAATTACGTATTTGTCACAAAAGTGTCACAGAAAAGAAGCATAGCTTCAAAAAATAGTGAAGACCGAGAATGACCTCTCTATAGAAAACAAAAAAAAAACAACTGGTCATAATTGCAAAAGGTTAGTAGACTTGTTCTTGGAGGCCTGGGGGCAACTGGAGGAGTTCAGAGCAGGATTTCACTCTGCTGGTCTTGGTTAATACAAGGTAAAAACTCACCACTGACAAAGCCAAAGATCTCATCAGTTTCAATGGAAATAGCACAAAGCCTTGAAATCTGAAATTACCACTATTTACGCTTAGAGGCCTCATTGTGTCATGCACTGTGGCATGTCTGACAAAGACCATCCTTGTCCCACAGACCTAATGATCTAAATTCAAAACAGCATGAAATTCCAGGGAAAAGGAACTGAATGTGTGAAATTTCTAATATTCTGGAATTGTCTAATCCCAGCAAAACTAGACGGCTATGATTTCAAGAAATGAGTCCTACATGTATTCTGACAAAAAAAAAAAAAATCATAAGCACTGCTTCATACTACAACAGGAAATACAAGAAGTCCAAACTGTCACCGACTTTCTAAAATTCATAGAATAAATAGCTTATTCCAGTTTTAAAGCATCTGCTGCTCCTGAAGTTTTCTCTCCTTTCAGACATGTTCCCCTACGCAAGTAGGAACGAAAACAACTTGTACAATGCACCCATGTGCCAGTCAAAGTACTGGATAAGCTTTATTCCTATGCATGGTAAGAAATTGTCCAGGGAGTTAACATAGATTTTCCACTTAATTTTAACTAAGTCACAGAACCTTATTCTGGAAGAGCTCCTTCAATCATGTATCCAGCTGCATCACCAGATTTGTGTATGGTCAAGACTAACATAAATCCCTGCTTCCATCCCCCTCCCCCCCCAAGGTTTTTTGACATGTCACTTTATCTGCTAAGAGAAAGCACTATGAACATGACACTTGGTCAGCTCCTTAATCTTTCATCTTACTTAAAAGGAGATAAAAACTCTTGAGAAGTCAGCGACTGTTCAATATATTTAATGGGCATGAGAGCGCTACAAAAAGCCTAGGAACAGGACATCATTCCAAAACTGAACTACTTACTGTGAGGGGGGTTGTTCATTTGTTTGTTTTTTAAAGATAAACAGGGGTTTTTTTGGTCTGTTTCATGAAATATTATAGCTAAGATCCTTCTGCACTTCCATAAATGGATGTTTTTCTTACTCTCAGTGGGTGGTCTCAGAGTTTTGACAGACGAACATCACAAGCTAAAAACATAGGATGCTACGGAGATAGCCCACCTGCAGTGGTGGTGGATGTGAAGGGGGAGAGAAAAGGTGATTGCAAAGGCCAAAACAATCTGTGGCGGGGGGAAATCAAAGGTCAGAAATGTATTCACAGCCCTAACAATGGGGAAGCTCTGGTGAAATGAGCAACCAAAAAGCACAGATACATGAGGAAAACAAGGGATTCAAAAAACAGGCAAAAATTTTAGCTTTCACTTATGCTGTTATTAGATTTTTATTTCTTTTTAAAAGGTCTGAGTAAGACACTCAGACATAATGCTTGGCATTCCTTTTAGTACAGTTAAAGCATTTTGAAAACGGGTTTATTTATATTTCTATTTTATGGTAGCCAATTTAATGAAACAAATATTCCTTTAAAAACTCTGGTACAAACCATACATCAATGCACACACCTGCTACTACCTTGTGTATTGCTTGGTTTCTTACCTGTTTTCTACAAGGAAGTCTACCACATATTTCTTCAGACAGTAGAGATGGGCATCCATCAGCCCTGTTCTGATATGCATTCTGGGGTGCCTGGAAAAGGGGAAAAAAAAAAAAAAGAAAATAATGGAGCTTTGTATGGCCATTTACAAGAGCTTGACTTTGCAATTAAGTTAGTGGATAGTAAAAGTGTGCAATGGCAGATCAGTTCCTTTCCATCTACTGCTGGATGAACAGAGGAGATCAGTGCAAGCTGACATTATTGGACTATATCTATAAACTTACACCTGCTGGCCCTGGGCTGATCTGCTGCGAAAGAAAACACCTCCTCCAAGGAGTCATTACTCCTGCTACATCTTCTTATGTAAGTGGAAATTGCACATTACTGGGCAGAAAGCCAAAATAATGGGCCCAGAGTGCTAAAAGTTACAGTGGGTAATGTCAGGGTACAATAATTCAAAGCTTCTGGCTAAGTGCCTCCCTTAATATGCAAGACTGTGCATGTTCTGCTCGCAAACACAACAACACTACTGTATTTTATTCAACACTTCCTGGAGGGGAATAGGGGAAGGAGATGGGGTCTGCTCACCTTTCCTACACCACACGTTGCAAATGACTCCCGCAGCTCAATTACAAAGCGTTTGCCTATCCAGCCCAGTAAGATGGAAAAGATCAGTAAAAACACCTCTCACCATTAGCCAAACAACAGCAAACAGGGAAGTCTTCGCTTTCAGACCAGTGGCAAGTTCAGAAACTCAGAAATTTACAGTAGCTTCAATATTTTAAGAACAAATTTTTAAATCAGAAAGGCTCATCGAGTACGTCTATTACTTCTCTTTATGCATTCTCTGCTCTTAGTGGAAACCCTTTTTGGAACCTGTCTCAAAGCAACTAGATACTTTATGCCAATATTACTTTCCCTCCCACACACCTGTAGCCTCATTTAAGAGTGTTCTGGCTGTCTGAACACTCACCACTAATTCTCAGGACAGAAAAGCCATAAGAATATTTAGCTTGCAAATTAAAAAAAAAAGGCAAAACACAACAACACTCAGGGGTTACACTGGGCTGTTCAAGAGATCTGTAACTGCAGTCACAATCCAGAGGCTATTAAGAAGAGAAATTTCAATCTACACCTGAAATTGTCTCTGCTTTCATTTTTCCTCCTTTGATGACTGCATTTTATAATGAAGTGTAAATGAACATATTTTATCAGTATATTCCATCCAAACTTTGTTCACTTATTCCAGAATGTGCTAAAGTCAGATGTTTGTGATCATGATCACTTTCATTATGTAGTTAGCTCAGCAGGGGGATTGCTCACAACTGGCATGTATATATATGTATATATATATGTAGTAAAGCAATACTAGCACACCAAATATTTAGTAACATCACAACCACCAAGAATATCAGGTGTTCTAGTAAGCCATCTTTTAATGCATTTCTCAATTAATGCATTGAACTACCAAACTATTTAAGCCTTAAAAATTTATAATTTAGGTGGCCTTTCTCAAGCATGCCATTCAATTCAAGCTAAGCATATTATTAACTACAACGAAATTCTTTAAGTCCCACTTGCAAAGGAAAGCTCCTATAATAGTAGTACAACACTTTGCAGTAAAGTATGTGGTACTAAAAAATGATATATGCGCTTTTAGTAGATTACTTCATTAACAAAACATGAGCTCACCTAGCAATGCTCCAGTACTGATGTTATCAGTGGCCCAGATGTTGCTGTGGAAGTCAGCCCAAATAGCAAAGTTCCTTATGCAAAGAGGATAGGGAATCCACTAATTTTAATGAGGTCTTGCATTTGGAAGTCAGCAGACTCCCTCCCGCTCTGCATCCTGAGGATGGTTTCCACATTTTGTGTATTTATGAGAGGGAGAATTTTCATATCTTCTCTGAGAAAAAGGGCTCCCTTGTATTTATATAATGAACATAATAGTTTATTGAAATGGGTGAAAGAGACAAATGGAAAAAAATGGACAGGGAGGAAAGCTGAGAAAACAAACAAAACAATGGAACAAGGCAAGAAACACATAAAAAAAAAAACCAGAAGTGGATGCAACATGGGAAGGAAATGGAAAAATAGGAGGAAAAAAACCAATTCTTAACTCACAGATGACAAACAGGACACAGTTTCTTTAGTGCCAGAATGCCAGGGTCTCCTCTCCCTAATTCAAGATCTACCACAACCCTTCCCTTAAACACAAGGGCAAAACATCAAGCAGAAAAGTGTAAAACAGGAACTCCCCAATAAATGCTGGTTCTGTTGCCAGTGTCTGTGTGGCTTTCACACATCCAGTCTTCCCACCTGCAAACCGGAATAACACTATTTAGCTACACCACAGGACGCTGAGGATTTGTGGGCTGAAGTTTGTATCTGCAGGCAAGTATTGTACCGAGTTTTTCTGTAGCTAAGCAACTTTATAACAAACTGATAAAAAAATCAGCCCAAGTGGACAGACAGTAGCACAGTGCTATCCTAGGCTGCAGCTCCATCACACACACAAAAAAACCCCCCACAAAAACCAGCCAGACAACAAGATGTACTGAAACGCCACTCTGAGTTAGCTTTCAATGTAGAATATACTAACAATAACGGAACATCATGCTGGACAAGAGGGAGGTCCCACAATGAAAATCCTCTGAAATACAGACCACCTAAGTGATTTGCAACAGAATAGTCCCATAGATTAATATTATAATCACAGCTTCAAAGGTCAAACAGGCAAGTTTGGGCACATGCATAAACAAAGCTGCGATTTCTGTAAACCAGACTCAGGGAGAGAATAGCCACACTAAACCAGACTGATAAGAGCACTCTATCATAACAAGCCACTAAAGATGATGCTAATTTTCATGGACTAGTGCTTAAACCAGTTTATCTTCAGGTAAAAGCAAAGGAGCCAAATAATCTAACAGATAACAGCAAACTCCATCACCATTTCAAATGAGCATCTGGTTACTAATATCGAAAGCCACACTCCCTTCTCGTGCCTCTGATCTCCCACTCCATCAGCTAATCTTTACAACATATGAAAAATGAGCTCGTCGCAAGGAACAGCTGATACAGGGAGAATCGAATAACAAACAATGCATGTGCCGAGAGCTGACGCACCTAAACTTATCGCTCTGAGGGAGATAGTACAGAAGGCTTTTAATTATATCATCAAAGCAAGGGAGAAGGTACTAGGAGGGGCCGGCTGCAGATGGTTAAGTGTTAATGAATGCCGGGTTGGGTGGTTTATCAAAAGAAAAAGACTGGATATATATCTGAGAGGGTCACCGGTGAGATGAAAGTTGTAACAGCCATTGTTGGAGCTCTTTAATGAGCGAGGAATGTCAAATGTGAACCCTCTAAGAATCATACCAATTACTAAATGAACTTCGGTTCAATCTAGCAAATGTAATCAAGCACAAGTCATTAAAATACATGGTAAAACTCCCATTGGCGCTGCCACTATAGTGTCTATTATTGTCTGTGCTCCCGTGCAAGGGAGGGGGCTGCTCCCCGTTGTAAGCTCTGTGTGTTATGTTAAGTGATGGCAGATTTTAGCCCTAATGATGAGGCATGGAGGGCTCCCTGGCAGAAAGTCGACAATGAGGAGGCTCGAAGAGATCTGTGGAGAAGTCAGGGAAAGATCAGCAATTAAAAGAGCAATTTCAAAGAATGCAATTTAATGTGTAAAATTAGCTTTTATTAGCACATAATTCCACAAAATCCTGACTCGGGATGAGAGTGCATAAAGGTCTGCAAGAGTCCTTAGAAAGGTCTGTGCCCGTAATTCCTGACACGCCATTGTGAAATAATAAGCAGTACTAACAGGATTGATGCATGCTTCGTACATGGCATTGCTTTGAAAGTGGAGCCCAGAGCTTTTCTCTCCCTGATAACCTCTCTCAGGATTTCCTCCCTCAGGGAAATCAACCACTGATAGAGCAAACTTCCCTTGTTTAAAGGCAAAAAGATGGACAATTGTTTCAACTGTAAACTAATTAAGAGAGATTACCACCAAGAGCTGGAGGTTCAAACCAGCCCTGCACTCCCACTGACAGTGTGATAATGCCAGGCTGGGGTCAAAATCATAAATCTGGAGGGAGCACACACAATGCTTAAAGCCAAAAAGCCTCTCTACTAAGCATGGGATATTGCCACATTAACCTCACCACCTCACAAATAAACTGGCTGAGAAAGAGAAATCCCATGGCCTCTTTCCCTTTAACTTCATACAGCTGTTGATGGAAAATATGAGCGTCTTTAAGTAAGCTCAAGGACCTGAGGCTGTCCATACTCTAACTCTAATCCCAGCAATGACACAATAAAAATCCAATCATACCTGCTATTAACCTGGCTCCTGAACCAGTATCTGAATCACATCCACCTTGGGCTTATAGGGTATTATTTCATCTTCCTTCCCATCCCTCCAAGATAAGTAAATAAATAACAGCACGCTAATCGCCAACTATGCATTACACACTCATTTCTTTTTTAATTAATTGCATGTAGCTCACACAGTCCACGCAGCCAAACAGCCTGCCACATGCTTCCTGTCCCCCACACTACGTACAGTATTCTTGCGGGAAGAAGCACGCCATCCAGTTCAAACACACACTGCTGACCCCGGGCTGTCGGCATGGAGGTGCTGCTCTCATGTTGATACAAAGCCAGTGTACAGATCAACACCAAGAGAAGTCTCACACTACAAGCTGCCAGACCACCTTTAATGTCTCAAGCATTCCTACTTTTAAAGGCAAAAAAAAAATAAATAAATCCTTAAATCGCATTGCTCATTTACGGGACAGCTCTTGGCTGTAAACTCACTAATAATAAAAGACCACTGTTACGTTGGCTCTTCAAAAATCCCAGACACCTTATGACCTTAATTTTTTTTTTTACATGCTGCTTTTGGCCAAAAAGATCCCAAAGCACTTAACCAAATGAATGTCCCCACTGTATCGCAGGCCTCCCTTGCCCACCAGTGAAATGCTGCCACCTCCGGGCTGAACCGCAGCAGCTGTGGTGGCGCAGGACCGACCCCCCCCACCGCCCTGCGCCCCTCTCCCACCGCCTGAGGAGGAGGAGG